ACTCTGTTGCTGACTTTCATTCCAACACAGGATCTCCTGTGGTGTGAAGGGAATGTCAGGAAGCTGGTCCTAGAGTTCAGTCGCACCGTTCACTCACCGCGTGCGTGTCTGGTCAGTCCCCGTCAGTTGTCACTCAGACCGCTCTTGGACAGGGAGGGGTATGACACGCACAAGAGAAGGCTGGCAGAGAGAGGAGTCATGGGAAGGGAATCTGAGCTCCTGGGAGCAGTGCAGGAAGAAGAGGTCCTGAGAACTCTCCCTAAGCTTCCTTCTCTGGAGCACCTGGGCACATGGTTCAGGGCAGATGCCTGACAAAATGGAGGTTCTGTGAGGAGGAGGAGGAAATGTCTGGGTAGGCCCCACCGCACAGGAAAGGTGTGGTGTTAAACCTCAGACGGCTCCTGTGGTATGGGGAGCCTAAGCCAAAAAATTAACATGAGTGTGTTCTAGCACTAGAAAAACCCCCCAGTAAAGCCAAATTTAAATCCCTGTAGATAAACACAGGATACACAGTGAAAAATCCCTTCTGAAGAGAACCTTGTATCTTACCTTCACATCCACCAAGACAAAGAACAACTAAATACAATGGAGCCTTCCCTCCAACCCTCAAAGAAAACCTGGCTATAATAGAACAGGTTGAGAGAAGAGTTAAACATGTGCAGATACAACCATAGGGTAAGAAGAGGTGAATTTGGAAAAGAACCAAATAAAACCTTCACAGACCATTTGTTAAAAGAATTACTAAAAATGTATTCAATAGATGGAAATTAAATCCAGAAGGAAGGAATAGACTGAAGAAAAGCAAAGAAATTAGTAAATATGTTGGTTTGTTTATGTAAATATAGGTTCTAAATGATAATAATGACTAATGGAGGCTTAAAAACAAAGTAAAACTAAAATACTACATAATAACATGGAAGATGAAGAAAAGGCATTCTTAGGGCCTTTTATTTTTAGGAGGAGGACAGAAATATTGACTCACCTATCTATTAAAAACTTGAAGGCTGGGCACATGGTGGCTCACGCCTGTAATCCTAACACTTTGGGAAGCCGAGACAGGAGGATTACTTGAGCTGAGGAATTCCAGACCAGCCTGAGCAAGAGCAAGACCCCATCTCTACAAAAAAGTAGAAAAAATTAGCCAGGCATGGTGGTACGTGCCTATAGTCCCAGCTACTTGGGAGGCTGAGGTGAGAGGATCATTTGAGCCCAGGAGTTTGAGGTTGCTGTGAGCTATGATGACTCCACTGCACTGTAGCCTGGGCAACAGAGCGAGACCCTGTGTCAGAACAAAAACAAAATAAACCAAAATAAAACTTAAGCATAATTGTTAAAGAAATGAAATAACACTTCTAAACCAGTTATGGGGCGTGGGTGTTGTTAAAGAGAGCCATCAACCTGACAGGAAACAAGAATGAAGGAGAGAAAGACATAATAAATAGAAAACACAAAAGAAGGTTTCATTTATGTGTGTATGTATATATGATAAAAATAAGTTCATATATGTCCGTTTTAACAATACATTTCAAGTCTTAATGACTAAGACTAGATTTTATCTTAATTAGCCATATGCCACTAGTGAAATACGCTTAATGCAAAATTTAGAAGTTCTCTCTGCTTTGTGAATTTTATAATCGAATAGTATCAGGATGAGAAAGTGTTGTTGACAGGAACTATGATTTCTTGCCTCAGAGACTAGGATACCATTAACTAAGAGTCATAGATAGGAAAGTGCCACCTTGGAAATGAAAATAAATTAACATTTATTGAGTTCTTCCTAAGTCTTAATTGGGGCCTACAAAGGAAATTGAGAAGGAGCCTCGTAGATAAGAACTCACGGTCTGTGTCATGGAAGCCCAGACAGGAGGAGAACTTGCAGTGTGTTATGCCATGAAAGCCCAAAAAAGAAAGAATTCAAGAAGAACAGAGATTTCAAGGATAAGAAAAATGATCAGTAATATCTGTGCTGGAAAAAGGCTGAGCGGAATTAGTATTGAAAAGCTGCCTTTGGATCAAGCTTTAAGAGGACAGATTAGTAGGGTATTGGGACTACTGGTAAGAGACTAAGAAAGAAAGTGGGAAGGAAGAAACTGAGGAAGCAGGAGGGGTTTTCTCTCTCAGGAATTTCAGCACCTAAGGGAAGACGGAGTGGATGGTGAAGCAATCTCAAAGGACATTATCTTGGAATAGGTGACAACCATATTGAAGAATAAAACCTTAATTATCTAGATCCCTCAGGGAAATGAGCTTCCTGGATAACCACCTTTTCTAGGTGACCTAATGCTTGCTTTTTAAAATACCAAAGCTAAATTTTGCCCATTTTTAAGTCACTCAGCCATAGCAACATCAGGGTGGTCTCTGGCCTTTAACTATGGACGATGCTCTTTCATGACTTGAACAAAGCCAGTTAGGCATCGTTTAACCTTGTTTCCATCTCTCGGTTATTTCTCCAAGACTGCAGGACCTGTTGAGGCCTATTTGCCTCTAGACTAAAGTAGCCACAGAGAGCTGTGTCTTGAGTTCTTGTGTCTGTTTTTTTGACATCTCTCAGAGTATCTTTCTTTTTTCTCCTTTTTTTTTTTTTTTCACATGTGGCGGGTAATATGCTGACATCGGAACGAGGTTTGAGGGAGGCGCATCTCACATATGAGCATGAAAATCCAATCTTCATGCTTATGGGCCACAAAAGGATTGCGTATCTTTTATGGTCAGCTGTATTTTCTCATAGCCTGCCTTAATTTTCTACTTCTAGTCTGCTCATGAGCTGGGCTAAGGTGTATTTAGCCCTAATAGATGAATTATCTCTATGTATCAACTCTGCCAGGTTTCTGAACCTGAAAAGCTGAGGTCCACAGCCTGGTCAATCACTAGAATAATAAACGTCACTCTGATAGTGCTGGTGGCCTTTCCCTACATGTTTATATCTCAGATATACAGTTTAATATAAAACTAAGAGTAACCTGGGGCGAGCATCTGAGAGGCTGTTCTGAATGTAGTATATGGTCCGCAATATGTGGATTTTTGAAACATTTACTTGGCTTTTCTGCCAAAGGTATCTTTGGAGGCCTTTCTGTTTATTTCCTGATCTAGGAGGAGGAGAACCATGGGAAACAACTAACTGGTTGCATCTTCCCTCAAGTGTAATTTAGAGATTTCTGCCTCAAAACTGATAATTCTGTCAATACAAATAGAAGAAGGTGGTGTCTTTCCTACCCACCTGCTACCTATCCTCTAGGAAGAAAGGCATTTATTGTGGATTGACTATGACATTTATTCCTCTGTAGTGCATGCTAACTTCTGTCTCTGCTACCTGGCCTGTACAAGTAGGGTTGATTCTCAACAACTGTACAACTTGCAATCGTCACAATCCTGACCTCGTTTGCTAGAGCAAGTGTTCTTAAATAATGGAACAGTGGGACTCCATGCAAGTCTTTTTTAACATGAGAGCCTATAAATTCATAAGAGGTTTTACCAGAAGAAATGGAGAGGCTTCTGGGGTTCTGAATTCCATTAACTCACAGTTCTAAAGCCAAGGCTGAGACCTTCCAAGTCACTAGCAATACCAGAGTGGTACCTTATAAAAGGCCCATAGGCTGGCTTCCGAGAGCATTATAGAGTGACGTTTATTATCTTCATGATTTACCAGCCTGGCTCTTAGCTTTTCAGGTTCAGAAACTGATTTAATCAAGATACAGAGAAGAGATTCATTATCAGAGCTGGGCTCACCTTAACCAAGCTCACAAGACTGATCTGTAAACCAAAATGCCAGTCGACATGTATACAAAGAAATATAACCGATCGAGCCCATCCTTTCCCCATCGGCAGGCCTGCACAGAGGCAGAGCACCATCAGAAGGTTATTTGGTGAACATGAAATCAGAATAAAGGTGAATCATATGTTTACTGGCATAGGCTAAAAGAGTAATCCATCCTACACCAAATATGACCCTGTCAGTGGGACTAAGTTTCTTTAAAGTCTGTCAACTAAGACTTCAGTTGCCCTGATCAGTATTTGGATAGACACCTGCCAGTGTTTTGTCTCATTTTTTATGCCTCAAGGCTAACCCAAGCCCAGGCCCAACCAAACAACCTCCCAAGTCAGTCTTTCTCTAAATGGTAATATTTTCCATCAGCTTATACTATCATTCTTTTTCCTTAAGTCTACAGTTTAAATCTCAATAAGCAACCTCATTTTCAAACTCTCAATGGATCCCTTGCTGTACTTATCTTGGTCAAGGGGAGAGGGTGGCCGTGATAGATAAGGATGAGTGGGACAACTCACCCACACCTAGGCTTATCAGTCATTTACCAAAAAACCCTCACAATCTTGCTATATTTGTATGCAACATATACTATCATTAATATTTTTCTTTTGGGTATGCTACCTTGGTGATGCACACTTATAACTTTGACTCAAACTGCACAAAAGCAAATCATGTCATCAAAACATTTGTACCCTCATAATATTCTAAGATTTAAAAAAAATTTTAACAACTCACATTTAAAAAAAATTTTTATTTTAAAATGTGATTTATCTGATGTATCCCTACCACCAATGGAAAATGACCATCCTTTGTCACAAAAGAAATATAGCCCTAAAAATAAATATATTGAAAACAAAAGTTCTACTTTTTTTTTTTTTAAGCTGGCTACTGTTTGCCACAGAAAGCTCTGTGCCTGAGCAGGTCTTTGTTAAGATACGGTAGCACCAAACTGAGACTCTCCTCAGTGTAATCAAAAACATCAAAAGAGGACTGAGCAGTACAGTAATTTAGAAGGTTATTTAATGTATTTAGGGCCTCATCCAACTTACCATCTAAAAATAAGTCTCACATTAGGTTCCCACGTTTTGGCAAAAGATGACTAGGCTTTTTCCCACTATCAGGACATTTGAAACTGGCTTATACAACTGTAGTGATGCCTCCTCCTTCCCCCCCTTGCCTGACCCCACTTTTGCCTGGTGCTCTACTGACTCTCTCATTCCTGCCTCTCCCTGCACAGGTACACACTGGCAGCTCAGGACCTGGTGATGCGTGCCCGGGGTGTCCTGAAGGACAGAGGATGGCGGATATCTAATGACCGACTTGGCTCAGGAGACGACATTTCTGTTTATGTCATTCCCTTAATACACGGAAACAAACTGTCATGAAAATGGCCCAGGGCATTGGGAGGACAGAGGGGAAGGAAATCTGGGATGCCTCTCGGCAAGGTGGAACTGGGACGTGCCCCGGCTGAGTTCCAAGGGATGCAGACTCTTCCCAGCCCAGGTGGGGAGTTTGCTGCCAAAAGGCCTCTGGCTGTGCTTCAAGATGACCATTAGGTTTCCACGTCTTCTTTAGTAACAGGTCAACTCTATAAGAGCAAAACACAAAGGCTGCTATTGAGTGTTATATTTCTGTTAGTTCCTTTTATAGGCCTCCCAGGTGGCCATTGCCTATTTGGGGCACATACATCATATTAATATTTATTTTATCTAGAGTAGCTGGGTAGCCGTGTTCAGGTGTAACAGGCAGGTGACTCCCACCTGTCAAGCTGCCAACTTCTCTATGGGTTAAAAAGTGCTGCATTGGAAAGTTGGGAACATGCCCCAAAGTGTAAGCACCCACCTTCTAGTAAGCCTGAGATTGATTTCAGGGATTACTGCCTGCCCTCTCTTTCTTTCTTTCTTTCTTTCTTTCTTTCTCTTCTCTTCTCTTCTCTTCTCTTCTCTTCTCTTCTCTTCTCTTCTCTTCTCTTCTCTTCTCTTCTCTTCTCTTCTCTTCTCTCTGTCTTTCTCTCTTACTCTCGCTCTCTGTTCTTTTGTGGTAATGGTGGGGTAAGGCAGGGATTTTTTCTTTTGGGACATTCTTTGAATCTTTTTTTTTTTTTTCCCTTCCCTAGAACAGGGCTGGGAATTTCCAGCTCCTTGCTGAGGAATTTCTGTGTCAGAGCCCAGGCCGGGCTGGCTTGTCCCCATATCCTCCAGGCCACACAACCGAGGCAGCCAGCCGGGACAGCGCCCTGCATGACACAGCATCTTTGTTGTGTGACATTTGTTCCCGAGTTGCATTTTCTCACCAAATCAGTGTGTTTTCGTGAAACTATATGGGTGTTTCTTTGAAACCACAGTTTTTCTCTCACCATCGGCGTCTCCCTTGTGCGGCCTGAGGTTTCTCTGTGTGAGCCTGCACCTTCCCTTCTGGAGTGGGTGGCCCTGTCCCACCTGCTGTGTCGCGGGGACACGTGCAAAGCAGGTCTAATGGGGCAGTTTGGGAAGTTTGCTGCATCCGTAGGTCCACCATACCTCATCTGAGGATGATTTGGGATTCAGGTTTCCTGGGTGGTGACTGTCCCCCAAGCCCAGTTCAAGCTGTCAGTATCAGAGTCCTGTCAAGGAGCAGCAGTTCTACTCTCCCCGTCATCTCTGTGCAGGGCCCACTGGGGATGGCTCTTTGACAAAAGTGAATTTGGATAGGTTGACTGGTCATTCTTATGCTGTGCTCCCTGTCCCTTCTCCAGAGAGTCATGTTCTAGCCACCCATAAACCGAGACCCCTGTTCCCACTGTCGCTCCACTGTGAGTGTTCCACACGGGAGCAGCAATGACAGTGGACACCGGATGGACCTGCTGCCTCTCTGCCAGGAGGGACGGCAAAGTGGACTTTAAAATCCCTTCTGTCTCTGAGGCAGCCTAGACTGCTGCTCTGCACTGGGGGACCTTGTAGAACAACATCCAATTACCTAGTCTTTTTCCTGCAAAGCTACTTGGGGGGGGGGGGTCGTCACCATTTTGACAACTTGGTGTAATTAAAACACTCTTCTAGACCCAATAAAGAGGTCGTTGCTGTGATCTCCCAAAATGCTAATTTCAGTTCTCAAGCTTGTCTTTTGAATTCCTTCCCCAGAGGAGAGGGTAGGAACCTTTCCTCCAGGGTAGTAAATCACTACATTCCTAGAGCTGTAGATACTTTATTCAAAAAGGCCTGGAGCCTTCCTACTCAGGAACGAATTCCTTCCACAGTGTGGAAACAGTGCCCTGTCTGGCAGGTGAAGTACTGTGGGAATTCACCCTACCAGGTGTTTGCCAAAATGCTGCCAGGCAAGAATTGGACTACTACCTTGTCGGAAGTCATCTTCATCTGACAGTGTTTCCTCCTCTTTCAGTAAATCTTAGCTACCCTCGAACCTGCCTATCCCCAAAATCTCTTTGGGGGGAAATTTATGGTAAACTGTTTGACTTCCTGGCAGAGCCTGATGCTGTGGGGACGCTTTTGGGCATCCTGCAGCAGTGAGATCCACTTTCTGCTCCTGCCCTGATTCTCAAAGTCATGTATAAATAGGAAACTTGAGAAAGTCTTCCATGGAAGACCCTGAGCTGCCACCTTTGGGATCTTTCCTGTGTTCCCATGGCTTTTCATTTCTTTATTTTTCTGGGTCCAACCTTGAGCTTCTCTAGTTTTATTCTAGCCACCAGAGTCAGAATTTGGGTGTAGATATCATGACAACCTTCTACTCAATTTACCAATTCACTTACTGCCAAGGCATGTCTCAGGAAAAACTCTGGAAACGCCTAAATCAAAATCTCCTAAAATCTTGAGAATTTAGTCCTGCTGGTTTTAGTTAGAAAGGCATCCAGGAATTCTTTCCATAAGCCCCCTTGGGTAGAAAGATCTTAGTAGCAAGATAAAGCCATGCTTTTGTTTGGGGGATGAGAGGAAGACTACAAATGAGGTAAATAAATCAAAAGTGGGGAGTATGATTGTTAATGGCCATGGCACATGTACCCGGCACTGATAGTGCTCTGGGAATTGAGCTTTCTCACTTTGGGCCTTAGTTTTCACCTGGGCCCCAAGTCACCCCATTCTAGAATAGTGAGTGTGTCTACACAACGGTTTGGCCCTTGGGGCATTCCTGGACAGGGCAAGAGACAACACACTTCAAAATTCTGCAGAACATACTTGTGTATGGTTCTGAAATCTTATGTATCTGACTTATAGCCAAATCTGCTTGCCCTAATAGCCTTAAACAAGAGGAAGTCTTGTTTAATACGAAGCTTTTGATTTTCCTAGTCAAGTATTTATGCTTGTCTTGAGGGGTATGTAACCACTTCCTTTAATGAAAGGCTTTTTCAGCTCTAAATCTCTTTGTTGGGCTGGCTCTTCACACTATTTGGCAAAACTTTTCCTTAAAGAGAGTGAACTCACAGTCCATCCCTACTCCAGTGTTTTGCAAGGCAACAACCAAAGCTTTGTTTTTGGAATACTGAAATCAGGGCAGTGCCAGCAGTCAGGGGCTGGAAGGTGTGGTTTGCCGTGGTTGTGTGTACCTACCTGCTGTTGTTGAGGTGGGAGACAGAGGGTGAAAATCTGGCTGGGCCAAGTATATTCCACTGTCTAATAGGACAAAGCCTTAAAAAGTCAAAATTTTGGTTATTTTCCATAGTATTCAGTTTTGAAGGTGTTTTATTTGGGGTGTTTAATTTTTTAATAACTAGCAACTTACCTCCATGGGGCTTTGTGAAGTCAGCTGTGGCCACCCTCTTCTTATTCTTCTAAGTACTCATTTACTTCTTGGGAAGAGTTATAGCCACAAGTAGATATTGATGGGCAAGAATGAGAGCCTCAGGACCCAGATTTAGCCTCAGAATCTGGCCATTTGGGGCAGGGCTTTCAATTTATCCAGAGCACTAGAGACTTGGGAGAAATCTCCCACATCTTTACAATTCTGATTCTCCTCTTGATATCCCCTCCTCCCCTCCTTCCTCATCTGCCAATCAACTTTATGTATGAGGCCACAAGTGGTAAGTGGTTTTCTTTTCACTCGTTTGAGGATCTAACTTTTCCTTAAGTGCCCCAGCAGCTCCACTGTTTTCAGAGTGAATATGTTAAGCTTTGATGAGATTCTATTTTCAGTAAGTTAGTGCTTCTGGGACACTTGGAGAAAGCAGTGAGCTTTCATTGTCTATGCAAGGAACAACCAGGCTGACCCTAAAAGTTATCAAATCTAAGAAAATGGGGAAATGGTCTCTGGCAGGACAGAGTTTTACATAAGGGACTCAGATTTGTGAGGACGTACCATTGCAGAGAAATGTCGCAGCCTGGACCCCACAGCCCACTTCTCCGAGCAAACTTTGGTTTTGTGGGGGTGATGTGGCATACGTGAGTACACTGGGATTTATCAAAGGACACTACACAGGCAGCCTGGCTTGCCTCTTCTGTGAGCACCGTGGCTTTTCATCAGATTTGAGTGCCAGTCTGGAGAGTGCTGCTCTTTCAAATCCGTAGCGTTATCTGTGTAAATAGCTTTAATTTTTCCTCTGCGTCTTAAGTGAACTTTCGTTCATGTAGCAACCAGGTAGACAGTGACCAAATAAGGTTGTAAATGTGCTGTTGTTTTTTATTGTGATGTACTTGAAGAAGGAGAACCCGTGTCCTCCACTCTTCTGATCTCCCATGAGTATTTTGTGTTTGTTTGGGGTGTCCTGAGGTTACCCTTTTACTCCTGTTTTGCCCCCAATTTTCTATGTTTCTTCTAGAGACCCGGGGAGGCCCATTCTGGAGATCATCTGTAAGGAATGTATCGTGGTCTGGGTTTCCAAAGCTACCCTCCGTACAGTGAATGAGAGAAATCTGCCTGGACATGGTTTCAGAACCATGTACCTTTATGCTTTGTGATTGTGAAACATTGACTTTTGTAACCCCAAAAATGAAAACTGTTTAGTAAAGGGGATCTATTTTGTGTGTTTTGAAACTTAGGTGCAATGTCCCCTGGAAAAAGCTAAAGAAATGTATATGCTCAATGACATTTTAAAATAAAATATTATATATATATATATGTATATAGGACATCTTTAGCAAAACTTTTGTGTGTGTATTTTCTATGAATTCACTGTGATGTTTCTTCATATCAGGTAATGGCATGGTATGAGAGTATCATGGTTTAATGTGAGGTTATCAACTATGAACACAGACTCAAAAGAAAATCAAAACGAAATGGAGGCCAATACTATATGCCTTCGCAGGGAAAAACAGTAAAGGCTAATAATACATTTCAGCTATGCCTCTGAGTCTAGAGAAACTACCATGGATAGAGTGCATAAACACATGAAGACTTCAGAGAAAAGAATTACTCCCAAGAGGTATCCTTAAGTGAGAGGGCTAGTGCCTAATCTCCTTGCTGAAGACAGAATCAAGACTCGCCTTAATCACTCACGCATTTTAAGTATGCACTTACAATGTGTTAGTAAAATATACTGTTTTACAGAGAAAAGTTACCGTGATTGGTGGGGTAAGGCATCAAAGAATGCTGGTTCTGCTTTGTTCTAGAATCCAGAAA